AAATTAAAATATTTAAAAATATTTTTATAAAATACAGTTTGAATTTATTTTTATAAAATATTTTAAAATTTTGAAAATTAAAATCGTAATATTTTGAAATTAAAATATTTAAAAATATTCAAAAAATTAAAAAAATCGTAACATATTTAAATATTAAAATATTTAAATATTTAAAATATTTAAAAAATTAAAATATTAATTTGAATTAAGTTTTGAAAAGAGTTTTGAATTATGTGTTTGGTTATGAGTTTTGAAAAGTAATGATTATGTTTTGAATTGAATTTTGAAAAATGGGTGTAGAATTATTATTTGAAAGCTCAAAACAAACAAAACACTCAAATCAATGGATGGAACTACAATTTGAGATCATAACCAAACAGAGAGTTTTCCACCATGATCCCATCAAATAGAAGGAAACTATATTTATTACATATTCTATAATTATTTTTTCCTATTTTATATATACTTTATATCTAAAAAATATTTTAATTTCAATTAACAAAATTAAAGATCATTCTACTAGATTAATGTCCATTTTCTTGTTATATACAGTTTGTTTGAGTTTTGTTGTACAAGTTAACTTTTATTTTCGTCCTCAATCTACAGGTCTGAATCAAAGTTTATCCAAGTACTTGTTGGGAAAATTTCTACTGCATTGAATCATACATATTTAAGTGTTGTCGAAGACCTAGTTGGAATGAATTCTCGCATGGAGGAAGTGATTGAATTGCTAGGCTTGGGGCTAGATGATGCTCGTGTCATAGGGATATGGGGAATGGATGGAATGGGTAAAACAACTATTGCCAGAGCTGTGTATGATCGTATCGCATATCAATTTGAAGGTTACAGTTTTATTGAGAATGTTAGAGATGTTTCGAAGAAGAGTGGTATAAAAACTCTACAAGAACAACTTATTTCAGAAATCTTAATGGAAAAAGATTTCAAAGTTGGAAATATTGGTATGGGAATAAGTATGATAAAGAATAGGGTATGTAAAAAAAAAGTTTTTATTGTTCTTGATGATGTTGATGAGCACCACTTTCCACCACCCGCCACCGCCATCGCCACCGCCCACTCGTTACCACCCACCACCCGCCACCGTCACCCACCCATCCACCACAACCACCATCACCCACCACCCACCTGCCACAACCACCCACTCGCTACCACCCGCCATCGTCACCTACCCACCCACCACCACCACCCGTCACCACCACCCACCTGCCATTACCCACCACCACCCGCCATCCGCCACCCACCTACCACCACCACCCACCCACCACCCGCCATCGTCACCCACTCACCCACCACCACCATCCGCCATCCACCACCACCACTACCGTCACCACTTTCCACCACCGTCTTCCGCCGCCACTTGCCACCACTTGCCATTTCTCACTCTTTTTTATATTTTAAAATTTTTTTAAACATTTTGTCAATTACCAAACGCGTTTGTAGTTTATGTTTTTCTAAAAATAAACAAAAAATAAACAAAAACCAGTTTATAAAATTTTTGTAAATATAAACTGAAAACGTAAACGTTACCAAACAAACCCAAAGTGTTACCAAACGGCACCTTAGCATCATCAAATTTTAGAAAAAATATTTTTAATTTGAGTTTTGTCTTCTAGTGGAGGATTAAAATGTTTAGCCAACAAGTTTAACTTCCAAAATTTTTACCTAATTAAAATGTAAATTCAACAGATTAATATGTTAATCTACTTGCACATTATGCAAACACTGTCTTTTTCTAAATAATATTAATTAAAAAAAAGGCAAATTGTGCCTTTGTTCGGATTACTTAGCACAACATATATATATATATATATATATTGATCGGCAAAATAAAATTTTATTAATAAAAGATGAAACGATTGACCATTTTTTTGTTCGGCAAAAAAAAAAAACTTTATTGATGAAACACTAAGTGTAATAAAGTACATCAATAAAGAGGAGCTTGGAGCTAACTCAAGCTTCTACCACCAAGTTGGTGAGAAACCAACAAACAAAGCAAAAGCAAAAACAAAAACAAAACAGACCAACATAACAGCCATTACTAAGCAAAGTAAACAAACAGAACAACTGAGCAAACAAACGACTAATGCAGACCAAACATCATAGCTGGGCAAAGCAGTTCAACCCTCACCCCTCTTGATAGTCACCAAGACTAATGCAGCCACAAAAAAATTCACAGCAGAAAAACCAGAGTTCACTTAACACTTCAATCAATGATATCCCCGCTGCTTTATACATCAGAACCTAATTGCATCCATCAATAGCAACAAATAGCATCACAACCCAGCAAACAACAAACAGTCCACCAAGATTTGCAGGCACTGTTGAGCATATCAATCCACCAAATCAGCCCACTACTGAGCAAAACTATGAAACCACAAAACTATATTTGGACAAAGCAACATTGTAACCAGCTAGGCCAAACTCAGCACCCAAGCAGCAACATCAAAAAACAGCTCTGCAGCACCAGAGAGCAATAGCAACTAATTGGAGCAGCACTACCCAACCACAGCAAGAGGCAGTAGCAACACCTAACAGGGATAGCTTAGAGTCCAACCAACAACAGGGCAACTAACAGAGGACCACAACAGAATAGAAAAGAACAAAAGCTACAACTCGTAGCACACCCTACTTATAAGCCCAGCAAGCAGACCTCACTCCAACCACTACCAATGCATATTCTAGCTAACCCCCACCAAAGCAGATTCTGACTTACAACACTCTCCAAAAAACATAAGGCCATCTCAGCCTCCACCAATGCATATTCTGACCTGATTCAGATTGAAAATAAAATCATTGACAGAGTAATGGAAATCTCTGCAAGAGGTTTTGAACCATAGAGCAACTTTGATTTTTATAAGCTCACTTAAGTCTCCAACTACAGGTTTGACATCCGTAAAAGCACATCCATTCCTAAGATTTCATTTGGACTGCAGAGTTGCTAGGGAAATAATCCTCCCAATCTTCTTTTCATTTTTCTTCATAGGTTGACCCTTCCACCAAAGGAATACTTTTTCAACAGAACCTGGATTGGCCCACTCAACACCCCACCATCTTAATAAGGCTAACCACACTTCCCAAACAAAGGGGTAGTGCAGTAATACATGAAGCACGGATTCCTCAGACTTCTTGCAAAAACTACAAGCTATGGAGGAGGTGCCAATGAAAATACAAAAATGCAACAGTCTTCACTTTTTGTTTCTAGTCAAGCCAACCAAAAGATTGCACTTTAGGAGGCAAGAGTGAACTCCAAACTAACTTATTCAATATGGAATGAGCGGCCCCAACCAAAGAGCTAACGTAATAAAGAGAAGAAACAGAGAAGGTACCTGAGACAGTAGCAGCCCACCTTGTGTAGTCACTAACCTCCCTCCTAATTGAATGACAAGATGACAGAATTGCTACAAGTCTCAACCACTCCAACTTTTCCCATTCAAACAGCTCCCTTCTAAACAACAAGTTCCAAACCCCTGAAGCCTCTTTCAGATCAAGAAACCTCCTCAGAGTGCCTTCATTTTCCAAAGAAAGACTATACAGCCTAGGGAACTCCACTTTCAAACAATAATGGTCACACCAGATATCCTCCCAGAATTTTACCCTTTCCATATTGCCAACTACTATCTTAAAGTTATTCAAGAAGCATAACATCATAGAAGAATTGAAATCATCAAGAGAGACAATAACAGACCACACCCGTGAATGTTTGAATCTAACCTCCCTTGACGGCAACCATCTACTAGCATCCAAAGCGTATTTGCTGCAAACTACTTTTCTTCACAATGACTTAGTCTCATTTGCGAACCTCCACAACCATTTGACCAATAAAGAAAAATTAACATCTCTAATCCTTCTAATTCCCAGCCCACCTTGATCAAGTCTCTCTATGACTTCCTCCCATTTGACTAAATGAATCTTCCTTCTCAGGTCAGAGCCTCCCCACAAGAATGCTGCTTGAATTCTCTCTAGGTCCTTTGCAACTCCTTCAGGCATCTTGAACAAAGAGAGATAATACACTGGCAAACAAGCAAGCACAGACTTAATCAAAGTCAATTCCCGCAAAAGGGAGAAGCCTTCTTTTCCAACCTACCAACTTTGTTTTTATTTTATCGATGACTGGTTTCCAAGTTTTCCTCCTACTAGGATTGGCCCCCTAAAGGTAGCCCGAGATACTTAATTGGCAAGGATTGAATTTTACAGTTAAGTGAATTAGTAAAATCAGCCAACATGGCTTTCTCAATGCCCACCCCATAGACCACACTCTTATGGTAATTGATTTTTAGGTCGGAGACAAGCTCAAAGCACCTAAGAATCCTTTTAATAATACTAATTTCAGCCCCATCAGCTTCATAAAAAAGATGGAATCATCAGCAAATTGAATGTGAGACACCAGCACCCCATTGACTTCCACTTCCACACCTTTAACCAGCTCCAACTCCACTGCTCTTGAAACAAGCACATTAAGACCTTTAGCTACGATGTTGAACAGGAGAGAGGAAAGAGGATCACCCTACCTAAGCCCTTTTTGGAGATGAAACTCATCTATTGGTAAGCCATTCACAAGAACAGATAACTTAGTTGTGGATACACACTCCTTGAGTTATGAAATCCACTTCATTCCAAAGCAAAAATTGGACAATATTGAAAAGAGAAACTCCCAATTCACAGAGTCGAAGGCCTTCTCAAAATCAAGTTTAATAACCACACCCATCTTTTTAAATTTTTTCCACCTCTACTACTTCAGTTGCAATCAAGACACCGTCAAGGATATTTCTACCACTCAAGAAAACGGATTGAGTTTCACTAATAATCTCAGGCAACACCATTTTTAGCCTATTAGAGAGAACCTTAGCCAGGATCTTATACATTGAACCCACGTAACTAATGAGCCTATAGTCTGTCAAACCAATTGTGTTAACTTTTTTTCGGGACCAGGGTTATAAAAGAGCTATTTACACCTCTGTGCAATCTGCCATTAGCATGAAATTCTTTCATAAACAACATAACCTACCCCTTCATTACCTTCCAATACTTCTGAAAACACACAAGATTGAAACCATCAGGGCTTGGGGCCTTATTACCTTCACAACTGTTAACGACATTCCAAACTTCTGATTCTGAAAATTTTACCCCAAGCCCCACAAATGCAATATTGTTGCTTACAGATTTAAAACTACCACCTAGAGTTGGTTTGATTTTCCATTCATCTATGAAATGATTGTTGAAATAAAGAAAAACCTCCAGCTTTACTCTCCTTGGATCCTCATGAACAGAATCCCCAGTCGTGATAGAATGAATCCCATTTCTGCTTTGCCTGTTGGTGGCCATGACATGAAAATATCTTGTATTGCGATCTCCTTTCAAAAACCAATCTAATCGAGCTTTCTGAAGCCACACCTATTCAGCCATCCTACTCAACCTCCAAACATCATTAATGACCTCTCTCTTCTTAATTTTTCTGACTCAACAAGCTCTCTACCTTCTTCTAAGAGATCAAGCTTATTCACTTCATCTTCAGTTGCCTTTAACTTACAAGATACATCCCCTTAGTATTAAGATATAATAAATAGCTCGTAACTATATTACTTTTATAAGTAATAATGGAATATGATTGCAAGTGTTCATTGAATATTTATGAAATATGGCATTTAGCAACTTTCAAGATTGAGGCAAAATAGTATGCAACCGATCATTTAATAATTGAAGAAAAAATTTCATCGTGTTGTTTTTGAACATTCATGATTATTTATAATGGACATTTCATTCTTTTTCTTTAAATTAAACAATTTTATCTAATAATCATGAATCATGTCAAAAAAGTAGTTGATTAAACCTTTGTAAGTGCTATTTAGCAACTTTCAAGATTTAAGTAGATCATCATCTACAAAAGTTAACCATTTGCATGGTTTGTTAGTGTCATAGTAAGTTGTTTTCGTCCTAGACATTTTGTCGTTTGACAAATTTCATTGTTTTCAATTTGCCATATTATGTCCATTTAATCATCTTTCATGTGAATTGATCGCTTTCAATTTGTCGTATTATGTCCATGTAATCCTCTTCCAGGTATTGTCGTTTCTAACATTAATGACAATGACTTACAAGATTTTTGTAATTTATTGCTAACTTTTCATTAAGGGTCGCGATTGGATATAGGAGTATTTAATTCGGTATTTTGTGTCTCCACAATTTATTTCATTAATCATTTAGGAACTTATGAGAATCAAAGTAAATTCTTGTTTGGGCAATTAATAATTTTAAACTTGTCACTTTGTGCCAACATAATTTATTTTCACCCGTTGTTCGGGAAAAAGAGGTGATATTTGTTCTCATATCATTTTCACCCTGTCGCAAAAAAAAATTAAAAAAATGTAAAAACGTCATACTTTTAAAGATGGCATAATTTGTCATTTGCGCAGACTAATCATTTAGCAACTTCCAAGAAATCATATAAGGTGTATCTTGTCGTGTTAGTGTAGTTTGCTTTACATATTTTGAATGTTGTGATTTCTATCTTTGACATGTTGCTAGTTGAGAAGTGTTGCCGTACAACTGGAGAGTCAAAAATTTTAAAATATATGGTTTACAAACTTGTAAAATTTGCTTATTCTACAATAATCTAATATCCTTTTAATTCTAACATTTTTCCTACTACAAATCTTCTACTTGGCTACGATTGGCATGTTTGGTAACTCATTTTGTTGATGACAACAACATATTCAAAATTTGAGTCAAAAAACCATAATCCTTAAAACAAGAACTAAAGTGGACAGTAAAATGCAAAAATTATGGTGGTAAAATGCTTAATTAGGTTAGTAGATTGTTAGGTCAACCTTTGCCACAATACTTTTCAAATTGGAAAGTGAAAAACCAAATAAAAATAAGTTTAGAAACATAGAAAGAATTTTTTTATTTATACATAAAATTCATACCAAAAAAAAAATGAAAGGTTGTCATTTTTATGATAATTCTGTATAAATTTTTTGTTTGCATATTTATCATCATTCACATTAAAATCAATCACAAAACTAGATGTAATGTTTTTCGTATGAAGTGGGTTCCATATTTTTGTGAGTTCTATATCTATATAAGAGAGTTGTGTTCTATTCTGTAATTTATATTTGTGCAAATAGAAGAATTGCAACAAAATATACCTCCTCTTCTTTGTAGAGAGATCAATTACAGATACTCTCCATTAAATGCACCATCTCCACACCCCTTGCATTAACTGCTTGCTGCCTTAAATTTCAATTTTTCGACCCTTCTTTTTTTTGGGGAAAATTTCAGTGTAGTAGTGTAAGTTTTGAAAAATAATTATAAATAAATGATACTTTTCCATCAAAATCACAAACTTTTCCATCAATATGTAATTTTTTCTGAAAATATGATGATTTTTTCAAAAAAAAAAAAAAAATTTTTAAAAAAAAAAAAAAAAAAAATCCCCTTTTTCCCCTTCCCTTTACCACCACTCTCTCTCTATCGCGATTCTCTTCCTTTCTCTTCTTCTTATCCCCACTGCCTGTATAACACCGTTTCAGTGTCACTTTCTTTCTCATCCTCATCTCTCTATCTACACTCCTTGGCTGCTTCTTACCCTCCACTGCCTCAGGTCCACAACAACCCCTATAAAAGGCCACCACCCCCCTCATAAACGCCACCAACATTTCCTTTCTCAATATCTCTGAGTTGCTCTCTTCAACTAGAGACTCCCTAATACAGTCCCTTCCCTTTCTTAATAAGCTCTCTTCAAGAGATCTTTAAGAGCTCTTCTGTCATAGTCTAGCCTTTCAGTACTTGTACGTACACACTTCCCTTGTTTAACCAATCTCTCTTCTCAGTTTCATGGTTTTACAAAACCTCCATTGTTGTTCTCATTTCATTATTCAATACTTCCGAATTATCAACTCATCACCTTGATGAAATTGACTCATTTTGATGAGTTGAATGGCAGGCAAGGTGGTACTTTTGAATTACTCGAGAGTACCATGTGCATACGCCATGCTAATGTTACGGAAGTATTAAATAATTTTTCTAGGGCTCACTCAGTTATAAAAATAGCAATCAACTCTATTGTTTTTTTAACTAAATAAAGGAAAAAACATTAAGTCCATTTAGCATCTTCAGAGAACTACAGATATGTCGATATCTATATGTATATACATAATCTGTTATGTACTACTGATGAGTTTTTATATCTATTGTTTAGAGTATTTCGGGGGTAAAACATGTCAAACAGATTCATGAATCCAACGATGACTATTGGAAGTAGCAGCAACCGTGCCCCAAAAATTGGATCTTCTTCTGGTGTTAATCTTGAACAGGTCCTTTTGCTAACTCTTTATTTTCACTATATTTTTTCTTTTTTCTATATTTGTTTAATTTGTGATTTACTGCTACAGGTACTATATATCAGCTCATATCAGACAATATTAATTGATATATCTATATCAAAAATTTAAAATAAAATACTCTTGAATCAATTTTCATGATTTCTTGACCTCCTCTATGACCGATTAATTTTTGACTTGTTTAATTTGATAATTTGAATTCGCTTAGGAGGGCTTTTTATAAAGTCATTTTGACTTTTTTTCCAAGAAAAAATCCTTCTCGATTTCCGGAAAGCTCTGAGAGAGAGACCGAGGAAAAATTCTGGTCAACCGCTTTCTTATATCAGTTTCTTTCTTTCATTCTTTCAATTTCAACATGTGGGTTTTTTTTCCTGTACCAAAAATAAAATAAAATAAAAAACTGTGGGTTTTCTTGGAGAGAATAGAAACAAACAAAACACCTTTTCACACTAGTTGATTTCTAAAAAAATGATATCATCGCAGATATTGGACATATATAGAAGCAAACAAAGAATTGGCATATGCGAACGAAATTTTAAAAGTAATGTTGGAAATACAAACACTAAATATAAAATAAAACATATATGTTATATATGAAATGAGATTTATATGTCGTGGGACTTATACGTAGGACCCACTCTATATAAGATATATGTGTCTCATTCTGTATTTAGTAATTGTGTTTTGAATTTTTTCAAATTTTAAAGTGGGTACATTTTTTAGAAGTTTTGTTTGTTGATATTGAATTTTATATTGGAATTTTGTGTTTTATATTTTTATTTTATTTCTTGATGACTAATAATCTTAAATTAATAATTATTCTAGTCTCCTTAAAAAAAAACATAAAAATGGTAGATTCCAATTGCATAAATAATTTTCTTATCATATTTTATTTATCATGTGATATATTATCATTATATTGATAGAATAAGTCTCATCACTCATATTCATTATTAATATAATATTAACACATCACATATAAAAATGGAAAGTTATCACTATAACTAAAAAAATGTTTTTAAATTAATTATATTTGTTATAAATATTAATATGTAAGATTCTAAACTTTTTTTTATAATTTTGTAAATAATTTTTTCATGTACCAGTGACAACTAGTTGCCCTTATAAAAATTCAAAATATAATAAGACAATATAATCATTGTAATATTATTGTCATACTATTTAAATCAATGAAAAAAACAAATTATACAATCTGTTTATTTTATATGATATTCATAAAATAAAAAAATAATAATTACACAAACTATTCATTTTATACGACATTTATTAATAAAAAAAATAATAATATGATGAAGCTAACATGATGGACGTCCAGCTTTACCCAGAGGAGGTAAATGAAAACACAGGAGAACAAGAAGCTGATCTCAGAAGGATGAGCGAAGAGGAAGTGGAAAGTAAATTTGGTGGCAGCGATAACAACCAGGAAGGCGGCTACGACGAGGATCAAGGAGAATCCAACCACCTACGCAAGAAAAGGCGGTATCAACGGCATACCCAGTTCCAGATTCAAGAAATGGAAAAGTAAGAACTCAAACCAACAACATCACACACATTTAACATTACTCTTTGTTCAATTCATCTTCATTAAAAGCATTTTTTATTTTATTTTATGGGTTGTTTTCCTTAATTTTTGTTTACTTTTGGTTTTGTTGTGTGTGTGTGTGTGTTTGGTCTTAGTTTCTTCAAGGAGTACCCACACCCTGATGATAAGCAAAGGAAGGTGCTGAGCAGGGAATTGGGGTTAGAACCTTTGCAAATCAAGTTTTGGTTTCAAAACAAACGCACCCAAATTAAGGTGAAATGTTTTCTTTTATCTTGCATATTTTTTTAGGACAACTTTTTTTTTTTTTATTTGATCGGCAAAGAAAACCTTTATTGATGGAAGTATACAAAGTGTGATACAATGCATCAATAAAGAAGAGTTTGGAGTTAACACAAAGCTCCAAGCGCCAGTTGGTGAGGAACCAACAGACCAGAGATCGAAAGAAGCATACCAAAAAGACCAACAGACAACACAAAAAGAACACCAAAAGTAGATTTGCAGCAGAGGCACAAACACAACATTTCACCCCAAAGCTCCAAAAACAAAACCGTCGAACAAAACTGGCACAGTCCAAGAACATAGCATTCACCAAGAACACAGCATTCACACAACAACCATCACCACAAACAGAGCATTCAGTAATTCAAAACAAAAATGCAGAGCTTCACCCAAAGCTAACACAGTCGTAGAGCAACAACACAACACCAGCTCGCACAGCAGCATTCACATATCTACCACAGACCCACCCAAGCACTTTCTAATTTGCCTCAAATTAATAATAAAATCCTGCACTGAAAAAATGGAAATCTGTAAGATGTAATTGTACCCAAAAAGCAATCATATACTTGATTAAATCACAAAGATCCTCCAAATTTGGGATGGTTGCTCTAAATACACAATCATTTCTGCACTTCCATATTGACCACATCACTACCAATGGAATTACTCCCCAAATCTTCCTTTCTATCTTCTTTAACTTCTCCCCTGCCCACCACAAAAGAAGACTCTCCACAAAGCCTGGTATAACAGCTTGGATATCCCACCATTTCAGTCCAAATCTTCCACACAAAGAGACACCAAATTAGTACATGGTTCACTGATTCACTACCACTACCACTGCCATAGAACACACAAGCTGTGAAGGCACTTTGATTGACCACACCCAGTTTTTGTAAAAACTCCTTGGTCTTCACTCTCCTTTTCCAAGAAAACCAACCAAAAACCTGCACCTTAGGAAGGATATACTTAAGCCATATCAGTTTAGTTATACTCAAAGTGGCACCTGCATTATCCACAACAAACTTATTCAAATCTGCTACATTTAGAACCCTAGAAGAAGAGGCTGACCAAACAAGATGGTCAGGACACTCTGGACACAGAGCAGGAGCTGCCAGCAGTATATTAATTAGCCTATCGAGCTCCAACTTCTCCCATTCATATAGCTCCCTTCTAAAAGCAAGGGACCAACCACTAGCTATGGTTTTCTTTTCAACCATAACTCTCATTCCATAGACAACCTATATAGAGTTGGGAATTCATCCTTCAAGCAAGCAGATTGGCACCATGTATCAGACCAAAATCTGATCCTCACTCCATCCCCTACCTTCAAATGGAAGTTATTCAAATAAAACTCTTTTAGGCAATTACACTGTTCAGCAACAGAGATGATCTATTTCCAAACTGCTGAGTAGCTATTGCATGGAATGAGTGATGGAATCCAACCACCCATATCCATCTTATATTTGTTGCAAATAACTCTTTTTCACAAAGCATCCTTTTCACTACCAAACCTCTACCACCATTTGATTAGCAAACACTTGTTCACATCCCTCAATTTCCTAATGCCCAAACCACTTTGATCCATTCTTTTAGACAAGTCCTCCCATTTGATCATATGGATTTTCTTTTTCAGTTTAGAACCACCCCATAAGAAAGTAGCTTGAAGCTTCTCTAACTCTGAAGTAACCCATTCAGGCATCTTAAACAATGATAAGTAAAACACCGGCAAGGCTGAAGTTACTGCTTTAACAAGTGTTAGCCTCCCTACAAAAGACAACATATTCCTCTTCCAACCAGCCAGCTTGCTTTTAACTTTATCCACAACTGGTTTCCAAGTGGCTTTCTTTCTTGGATTAGCTCCTAATGGCAGCCCTAGATAACTGAGTGGCAATGATTTAATTTTGCAATTCAGAACTGCAGCCATATCATTAATCATTTCCATAGAAACACCCACACCACATACAACACTCTTATGAAAGTTTATTTTCAGGCCATACAAGATTTCGAAGCACCTTAGCACCCTTTTCAACTTCCTCACCTCCTCCACCTCAGCTTCACAGAATAAAAGTGAGTCATCTGCAAACTGTAAATGAGTTAACAACACACCCTCACAGCCTACCTTAACCCCTTTAATTAGGTTTAGCTCACAAGCTCTGCTCAGCAACATATGTAAACCTTCTGCTACTAGATTAAACAGAAAAAAGGGACAGTGGGTCACCTTGTCTTAGACCCCTTTGAGGGCTAAACTCTTCAGTAGGAGATTCGTTGACGAGCACTAAGACTCTTGCAGTTGTTACACACTCCTTCATCCAATTGATCCACTTAGCTCCAAACCCAAACTTAGAAAACATAGAGAAAAGAAAGCCCCAATTAATGGAATCATATGTCTTTTCAAAATCCAACTGAATAAGCACTCCTTTCTTCTTGGCTTTTTTCCATCCCTCAACAACCTCATTAGCAATAAGCACTCAATCTAGAATATTTCTTCCACTTAAGAACGCAGACTGAGGCTCACTAATGATATGCGGCATAACAGATTTCAGTCTATTTGCCAAAAGTTTTGCTATGATTTTGTAAATTGAGCCCACCAAACTTATAGGTCTATAATCAGATAGCCTTGTTGGATTATCCCTCTTAGGAATGAGGGTTATGAAAGAACTGTTTATACCTTTTACCAATTTGCCATTCCTATGAAATTCTTTCACAAAATTAATAACCTCACCCTTCATGACCTTCCAAAACTTCTGAAAACACAGTAAATTAAAACCATCAAGTCCTGGTGCTTTATTCCCATCACAATCCATCACTGTAGATTTGATCTCTGCTTATATAAATTCTATTTCTAACGGTCCAAACCTCACCCTACCTTCTACTGATGGAAAATGACCCCCCAACTCAGGTCTTACTGGCTAGAGCTCTGTGTACTGATTTTTAAAGTATTCAAACACCTTACTCTTCACTTGACTCGAATCTTCAAACACCACATCCCCTTCTGTAATAGAATTTATTTCATTTCTTGTTGTTCTACACTTTGTTACTACATGAAAAAATCTTTTATTCTTGTCCCCTTTCATCGCCCAGTTAAGGCTAGACTTTTGTAGCCATAATCATTCCTCCATCCTACTCAATCTCCACATTTCAGCTCTAGCTTCACTTCTGCTTACTTTTTCCTCACCATCAAGGTCTCTAACCTTAACCAGAAGATCAAAGCTATGAAGTTCACCCTCTACAGTCTTCAATTTGTTTACAACATTTCCAAAAACCTTCACATTCCAACTTTTAAGGCTACTTTTCAAGATCTTTAACTTCTGAATCAGAATAAACCCAACCCAACCTACAACACTGGACTTTTCCACTTTGACTTCCAGAAACTCTGAAAATTTTTGTGCAAGAACCAAGCATTTAGAACCCTAAAGGGCTTTGGACCCCAGTCCCTTTCATCCTCCATCATAAGGAGAGGGCAGTGATCAGAAACCAGTCTAGGTAAACCCTATAGCTTAAGGTTGAACATCTCAAGCCATTTTGGGTCTACTAAAACTCTATCTATTTTGCTCCACTCCTTACCAACATATGAATTGCACCAAGTGAATTTCCTCCCAAGTAGTGGTAAATCAGATACCTCACACTTATCAATAAACTTATTAAATTCTTTCATGCCTCTATCTCTCCTAGAACACCCTTTCTTATCCCCAATCAGCCTAATCTCATTGAAATCTCCTCCTAAGCACCAGGGATTAGGGAATTCCTTCTTCAATTTTAATAGACAATTCCACAGATTCCCTCTTGAGCCCACATCATTAGGTGCATAAATGTTTAGAATAGCACAATTAAAATGGTTAAAGAGGATACCTAATAATAAAATGAATCTTCTATTACTACAGCATTCCTTTACTTGGAAGACATCTAAGTCCCAGATGCACAGTAATCCCCCTGCAGAGCCTACAGCATCTACCACCATAAACTCCATTTTACCCCTAACCCACACAGATCTAACTTCATCCTCTGTTAATTCTGACTTTTTTGTTTCTTGGAACAAAGAAATATCTACATTCCTCTCCTTTAGGAGCTTCTTTACTTTGCCTCTCTTTTCCTTCCTCTCCAACCTTCTAATATTCCATGAAAGAATCTTCATAATTAACCATGATTACTCCTATACATCCTTCCAGCTGATGTCCTTTAGACCCCAACTCTCACCTCCCCTTCAATACGTTCCTTGTCCTTCAATTCAAGGTCCACTATTTTCTCCAACACTTCAACTCTCTTTCCATTGAACTGTATACCGAGAACTTCCCCCATTTTCAGAGTTGCTTCAGCTTCATTCAAGATAACCCTCCCTTTATCAATTCCACCGTCTATTGATGCAGATAGGGACATTGTCGCCACTGCTGCCCTCCAGACTGCAGCCCTAGGCAGTGCTTTACTTGTTGAAGCACTTCTGCTCCCATACTTCCTCATTAGCTCGAAGGATCTTTTCCTTAGAAAATTCTGGTTAGATTTTTTTTCTACTGCTGATCTTTTTCTTCCCCTTTGTAAGCCTTGAATGTCTACTATTGGGTTCCTTCTCATGTGCTTCAGAGAGGCTTGACACTCTCCCACGTGGCCCGACTTCATCAGACTTATTTCTTGCAATTAACTCCTGCTGGCCCAGCCCAGTTTGTGATTTATAAAGCCCACCCGCCTGCTTTAGTGTATTGCTCTGGCCCAGAATCACTTCAATATTCACACCAGGCCTTTCTAGGCTTGACCCACCTAAACTTCTAACATAACCTGGCATACACACTTGATTTTCCAAGCTCTGACTGACAACCATCTCCTCTGTTGAGTTGATCCTCTGGTTTCACACTTCCATCATTTTGTTTTTGTTGCACTTCCATCATTTTAGGACAACTTTTGGCATAAAAAGAAGATAGAAGTCCAAATATATATATATATATATATATATATATACATATGTTTAAAAAGTGACGTTAAATAATAGTGTGAATTTAAATTGAACCAATTTACATGATCGTGGACTTATTTTGGACTGGTTTTAGTAATCTAAATCACTTAATTTATATATTATGTAAAAATTAAATTTATCAGATATCGATATATCATTTTATATTTGTATTAAAAAAAATGAACCGTTTGTTTTCAAAATCATACTTTTTGTCTATTTTTTTAGAAGAAAAATGTAATTTAATAATGTAATTGTCAATATTCAATATAATTAATTTTTTATATAAATGATATGCTCCATAAGTTATACGAGTTAAATGGGTTAAATCAAATTATTAAAATGGGCCAAGAGTGGGCTCATAACCATGTAAACTGGACCATTCAGTCCAAAAGGTGGCCTGGAGGCAAGTTTGATTCATTTAAATTTAGGGCAAATTACATATACACCCCCCGAGGTTTGGCTAAATTATAAATACCCCCCTGAGGTTTGAGAAATTACAAATTCCCCCCTGAATGCTATATTTGCATAAGAAATTAGGGGGTAATTTGTTATGAAATATAAACCTCAGGGGGTAAATTGTTATGAAAATACAAACCTCAGGGGGCGGGATGTAATTTCCGAAACCTCAGGGGTATCTGTAATTTAACCAAACTTCGAGGGGTGTATATGTAATTTGCCCTTAAATTTAATGTGATGCGAGTCACTTAATAATTGATCGACACAATACTCTTTGGATAATTATTTCAGATGACACAAATTATAATTTTAATTTTTTTCTGCGAGTCCATTCTACTTAACAAGAACTCTTGGACTACCATTAACGTGCAAAGAATTAAGTCTTGTGACAAGCAAGACAATCCTCCCTAGGCTACACTTTCAACCTACTGAAAAATTAAATAAAATATGGGTTCAAATTAGTTGGCTAGACTTGTATTTTCAAACTTTCAATTTTAATGTTTTGGTGACATTGTAACTCACATAGATGAGAAACGAGCGCATCGAGAACACGCAGCTTCGAAACAACAATGAGAAGCTTCGGGCTGAAAACATTCTATACAAGGAAGCCTTGAGCAACTCCTTCTGCCCTAGTTGTGGAAGCCAAGCTGATTTAGGCCATATATCACTCGAGGAATATAATCTTCGTCTTGAGAATGCTCGCTTACAGAAAGAAGTACTACCACCCCACCCTTTTTTTTTTTTTTTTGGTCATTTTAATCAACAATTTTCATAAATCTTTGTTACAAGTTTTGTTTTCTACCGGTTTTAGGCCGACGAGATGTCAACTATAGCAGCAAATTATGTAGGCAAGCCCTTGTTGGACCAAGTCATGTCGCCTCCACTCAGTCCAGGTTCTTTTGAAAATGAGGTTTTGGGCGGGCAGCCAAGTGCTGGAGAAGGGGAGTTATTGTTAAGTGCACCAGGAGACCTATTTGGGTCAAATTGTGGACCTACTTCTGAGCATTATGAGAAGCAGATGATTTTTAAGATGGCAGTGACTGCCATGGAAGAATTTACTATGATGGTCCAGATTGGCGATCCATTGTGGATACCGGGCATTGATAGCAACAGTTTTGTGCTGAATGAAGATGAGTACTTAAGGATGTTTCCCAGAGCAGTCGGGCTTAAGGCTCCAGATTTCAAACGTGAAGCTTCCCGTGGAGCTGCTATTGTTCTAATGCCCAGCATCAACATTGTTGAAATTCTCATGGATGAGGTAACCCTATGTATATGTATGTTTTTTATTTATTTTAATTTTTTTTATTAATGTAAAAAACTTTTTTTGTGATCGATATTTGGATTGATTCTCACCCTTTGTTTTGTGATGATTAGGAGAAATGGTCGAATTTTTTTTCTGTCATCATCGCAAGAGGTGTGAACATTGAAACACTATCAGCAGGAGTACAAGACTTAAATGGAGCCTTGAAAGTGGTAACATTTGAGTTTCATTTCTCTTTCGCTATTTTATAAATATTGGAATGCGATCAATTGAATTGTTGGTAATATAACACTAGAGTTCAATAAAGCAAGCCCCAAGATGTACACAAAATATTCTTTGTATTGATAAATTTACTTCTCAGTGCATAGCTTTGTACTAAATTTTTTGATTTCCCAGATGAGTGGTGAATTCCAAGTGCTTTCACCGCAAGTCCCAGCTAGGGAGTTTAATTTCGTGAGGTACTGTAAGCAACATGGCGATGGGTCATGGGCAGTGGTGGATGCTTCGGTGGAAAGTTTGCGCCCTAGTCTATTGGTGAAGAATCGAAGAAGGCCATCTGGTTGTTTGATTCAAGATCTGCCTAATGGATACACAAAGGTGAAAAACTTAAATAAATTTCAGTATTGATGACAAATAAAACTGCATTACCAAATGATTTAATTCAACTTTAGTACTAGTTCACTAACTTTGAGTCTCTCTCTCTCCAAATGTTGTAGGTTACGTGGATAGAGCATGTCGAAGTGGATGTCAGAGGTGTTAGTAACATATACAGGCCACTCGTCAATTGTGGTCTTGCATTTGGGGCAAAACGCTGGCTTTCAACTCTTAACAGGCAATCCGAACGCCTTGCAATAGTTCAGCCAACCAATCTTTCTCCTAGCGATGTTGGTAAGAATGGTGATTATGATCACCCAACTTCGAACTCATATAATCACACGATAAATTTCTTGACAAGAAAGAACAGGGCTAGCTAATTCATTTAATTTTATCTCTGTTGTTATTACAAAGCGATTACTTCTGTACAAGGAAAGAAGAGTATGATGGAGCTGGCTGAGAGAATGGTCATAAGCTTTTGTGGTGGAGTGGGTGCATCCGCTACTCACACATGGACGACATTAACTGGAAGCGGTGCTGATGACATAAGGGTCATGACCCGAAGGAGCATTGGTGATCGAGGCCGCCCACCTGGCATTTCTCTAAGTGCTGTAACTTCTTTCTGGCTTCCTGCTCCAGTGAAAGAAGTGTTTGATTTCCTTCGCGATGCTCACCATCGGAATGAGGTATCAATCAATTGAATATCTTGCTGGTTTGATTTGAAGAATATATCTAGCACTGATCACCGCTTATTGCCTTACAATCACAGTGGGACATCCTTTCCAGTGGTGGAGTGATTCAAGAAATAGCACATATCGCTAATGGTCACAGAGCTGAAACCTGCATATCGTTATTGAGAGTCAATGTAAGTTCCATATCCAATTTATTTTTACGTTGCTCAACATAACATAAAGTGATTCAAAAATTGAAACTAATCACCTTTTGCAAATAATCTTTAGAGCATTTTTGGAGATCAGAACAACATGCTGATACTTCAAGAAAGTAGCATTGACCCGACTGGCTCATTCGTCATTTATGCTCCTGTGGATGGTACTGCGATGAATACGGTGTTACATGGGGGAAACCCGGACAATGTGGCTCTTCTTCCGTCAGGATTCGCTGTGCTGCCAGATGGGCCAAGTCGACATGGAAGTGGCATTGGTGAGGCTAATCCTGGTGGATCTCTAGTGACAGTTTCATTTCAGATTTTGGTTGATAGTACTCCAACAGTTACCATCGGATTTGTCGCGACTGTCAACAACTTGATCACTTGCACTGTTGAAAGGATTAAGGTGGCAATGGAAAATTAAAATGTGTGAATTGCAGAGGCTATATTATAGGTAAGTTTTTAAAATTTGTGGCAATTTACACCAATTTAATGTTCATTATTTGTTAGAAACAATTTTTTTTTTCAACTGAGGTCACTTGAAAGTATATCTTTATGACTACATACTTATAATTTACTAAATATATAGGGTTTCAACTTCTGTGATTTTAAGTGGCTATTTGACTTCAAAATATTATGATTTGATCATTGAGAGCTGCATCAAACACTTTCTCACAGATTTTCAACCAAAAAAAACAAAAAAAAAAAAGGAAAAAGGAGAATCCAAACATCTTCATGTATATGAAATGTGTTTAACTTAATGTTGTTTATTTAATTTACACCGCAATTGTTCTTCTTTTCTTTGAACTATTTTCAAATTTTTTCTCTATGTGATTGCAGTAAGTGAAGAATAAGGAAAAAGAGAGAGCTGCTGGATTAATAGCTATGGGGGATGCATGAGTAGAAGTCAATATCGCACCATGTTTGTTTCTTTACAGTGTTTGGTGCACCTGAAGAAGCAACCTAGTCATTTCAGTAAACAAAGCTAAAGAGAAGAAAATAAAGACGACATTGGTTTATATTATGGGTTTCGTCAAAGCTTCAAGCTTTTTTACCATTTTTTTTTTTTTTTGGTTTAGGGTCTTCATGAGTGTGGTTTGGTCCTATGCAGCATCTTCTTCCTTCTTTTGTGTGTTTTTTAAGATTGTGTGGTTTGAATAACTTAAACCTGTGGTGAACTCTTTTTTCCATTTCTTCTCATCTTTTGTAATGGTTTTGCTATGGGTTTGTTTCGCTAGGGTTGGAACTCCGCAGCAGCTTGATGGGTGTTTATTTTGTTTCTTAAGTCCCTTATTGTGTTGGTGTTTGATTTTATTGTTTGCTGTATAAGAACAATAGGTGATGTACTTTGCTTTATCTGTATATCACTTATAATTTTTCTCAAATTTTGAAGGAAAGTCTATACGTGGGTACCCTTTTGGGGATTTTCTCCATTTCCTCTAAATTATAAAAGGATCTTTGATTTCCAGAATGCTTCCCCACTGTAGTAGCATGGTGTTGCTTCATTCATATATATTAGTCATTACTTTTTTGTATTAAAGTTTTCACCTAACCATATATTTGTGATTCTGATAGTTCATAGATATTTCTTTTATTAGCACTTTGATAAGTTGTCGGACTTGCATGCATTGCAGTCTACCCTTTCCACTCAAGTCAATGCAAAATTTATCAACCATGCCCCGTATAAAGGACTGTATAGTGTTCTTCACTATTATTCTTTTTTCTTTTTATATATTATTCAAGACATAAATAATGTCAGTGATAAGTTCATTACTTATTAGAGCATGCTTTAAGAAAAGATACTATATGCATGTGCTCAATTCTCTTGTCCCGTGAATACACACATTTATATATATATATATATATAGATATAGATATAATGTTATGATTTTAAAGCATGAAATAATTGTGAAATCTTTAATTTTTTTGACTCTGTCATATATCGTATGTTTGGATTATGATTTTTTTTTTCCATAATAATAATTATTTTAAATATGATCGACAGATAAGGTTGAAAAAACTGTGCAGTTATACACATTTTAATGTGGCACAATAAATATTAAACATTATGGGGTCCACACTTTAGTTACACTAACAACCTGAATTGACTTTTTGACCACTGTGATTGTAAGGCAATGAGTGGTGATCTGCTAGATATAATCTTAAATTTAAAATCAAATTAGTAAGTTATTCAATTGATTGATACCTCATTCCGATGGTGAGCATCGCGAAGGTGGGCGGCCTCTATCGCCAATGCTCCTTCGGGTCATGACCCTTATGTCATCAGCACCGCTTCTAGTTAATGTCGTCCATGTGTGAGTAACGGATGCACCCACTCCACCACAAAAGCTTATCACCATTCTCTCGGCCAGCTACATCATACTCTTCTTTCCATGTACAGAAATAATCGCTTGACAATAACAATAAAGATAAAATTAAATGAATTAGCTAGCCCTATTCAATCGATTGTTATGTCATCTCCATCTACGTTACCAGTGATGTCCCCATTATGCCACTGTCACTGTCACAGTTGCCGTCGCCATTATCGTCAGCGATACATCTCTCTTCCTTTTCCAGTGCTGCAAAGCGCCGACCCCTTATTCCTCCTCCAGCGACTCCAACTCCAACGCCACCTCTCACTTCCCTTCTTCCTCTTTCAATCCCGTCTCTCTTTAGGAAACTTCAATGGGAAGTTTTGAAGTTGGGGCTTCATCAATTGGTTTGTGGATATTATTTTAGGGTTTTGATTGGGAATTTATAGCGTTTCACGCCTTGTCTCTTATGCTCCGTTTGGATGGAAGGATTTGGTGAAAAAAGAAAAGAAACGATGCAAATAGAAAATCCCTCTACTTATTTTGATGGTCAAATAAATGAGAAATACCGAGAAATGATGGAAAATAGTGAGAAAATGATTCTCACCAAATCTATGTTTTGTTTCTCACTAAAATCGGTGAGATTTGGTTTAAAAAGAATTGAGTTTAATGAAAAAAAATTAAAATGTCAAAAGTATCCTTATAAAAAAAACATAATTTATTAACATGGAAGGTTATTTTAGTAAAATAAAATATAATACTTTTCTTTTTTTCTTTTATTTACGCTATGTAGGTGAGAAATCACATTCTCTTCTCTTTTATTATCTAAACATCAGGGTGAGAAACTAAAATCATTTCTTTTATTTTCTCACATAAGTGAAAAATCATAATCATTTCTTTTCTGACATCATCTAACGATCCAAACGGAGTGTTAGGGGAAAAAAGTTGGGGACATATAATTGGTCTTTAGTACGGAAGTAAGTCTATGTGCACAGAAACCAAATAGAAAATGGAACATAACCCTTTCATAAAGGATGGGGTCCATATGTATGGGTGGGACCCATCTCAAGCGGTGGGGCCTATATGTATACGTGGGCCCCACCCGCCACCCACATATGTGGGTTCCGCCCTTTGTGAGAAGGTTGTGTTCCATTTTATATTTAATTTATGTGTTTCTAACATTACTGTTAATGTGGTGGTTTATAATTGTAATTAGTATTTATTTTTTAGGATAAGTTACAAATACACTCTCCTAAAGTTTGTTTAACTTTTTATGATTTCGAAAATTATATCTCACCCATTGAAATTTTAATCTCATAACAAATGACCATTTTTAGTAATAAATTATTAAATTAATTAACAATTTTTAATGATATTATAAATATATTTCAATCGATAATTCAAGTAATTTTATTACCATATAGGAGAGTAATTATAAATTTTATTTTTTCTGTTAATTCTGTTAAATTAAATTTTTTGACAATGGAATTTTTGTAATTTTTCAAATCACATGAGGCAATCCGTATTTTAAGCAAACTTTCGGAGATGTATTTGTAATTCATCTTATTTTATACTAGTTAAAGTATAAAAAACGTATGCTCTTTATCTTACATAGTTATTCACACAAACTAGTTTAAAAGAGCCTTTCAATACTTTCAAAATGTAGTTAACGGACAAGAATCTTGTTAAAATAATTATTATACTAGTTAGTCTGTTAGAGTGAGTAAAATAGTATGAAACTAGTTATAATAGTTAACCAGCCTCTTTTAAAAGGAGGTGGATCCCCTCCGCTGTTTGGGCCTCGTTTCAATAATTCGAATCGTTCATTTTGTCGGGTACTTTGTATATTTTATCCCTACAAAAAATTAAGTCGATCCAATAATTGTAACTTACTCAATTTATCAAGCTTTTAATAATAATAAAAAATATGGTTTATTTTTTAAAACACAAATTTTTTTGTGTGTGTTAAAAACGCAATAAATTGAGTAAATTTCAATTATCGGAACGACCTAATTTTGTGTGTGGATAAAACACATAAAGTGCCAGATAAAATGTACAATTCAGATCATCGAAACGGGCCCATTGTGAGTCCCACTGACCTAAATAGCGCCCTCTAGTTCAAATTTCAATGAATGGGATGTAATTTTCAAAATCACAAAAGATTAAACAAACTTTAGAGGAGTGTATTTGTAATTTATCCTCATAAATAAATACCAATTATAATTACAAACCATCACACCAATAGTAATGTCAGGAACACAGAAACCAAATACAGAATGAGACGCAACCCTCTTATAAGGGGTGGGGTTCACATGTATGGGTGAGACTCTTTCACAAAAGGTTAGGACCCACAAGTGTGAATAGGGCCCATCACAAGAGGTGGGGGCCACATACGTACATGGCCCCACTCATTGTGATGGGCCCCACCCACATGTGTAGAAGAGGCCCTTCCACAAAGGGTTAGGACTCACATGTGTGAGTGTGACCCATCACAAGGGGTGAGAGCCATATATGTATGTAGCCTCACCCCTTGTGATGAGCCTCCCACATATGTGGACTCCACCCCATGTGAGAGGATTGTGTCCTATTCTGTATTTGGTTTCTATGTTCTTAACATTAGTGTTGGTGTGGTGGTTTGTAATTGTAATTGGTATTTATTTTTTAGGATAAATTTCAAATACATTTTAACATTTTGTGATTTTGAAAATTACATTTCACCCATTGAAAATTTTAATTTTATAACAAATGACTATTTTTAATAATAAGTCATTAAACCAATTAATAATTCAAGTAATTTTATTACTATATAGGAGAGTAATTATAAATTTTATTTTTTGACAATAGGGTATTTGTAATTTTTTAAATCACACGAGGCAATCCGTATTTCAAGCAAACTTTAGGAGATGTATCTGTAATTCATCGTATTTTAAATTAATTGGGCCCAATCGAAGCCCAATTAAAAAGCCCAATAATTGGTGAGCTTGAAGAAATTATTGCCAAATAGACCAAGTGAATTCTATTGAGCGGGCCCACAAGAAAGCCAACAGTAATGTTAAGAACAGTAATGTCAGAAAACCCATAAATAAATACCAATTATAATTACAAACCATCACACCAACAGTAATGTTAGGAACATTGAAACCAAATACAGAATGGGACACAACTCTTTCATAACGAGTGAGGTTCACATGTGTGTGTGAGACCCTTTCACAAAGGGTTAGGACCCGCATGTGTGGGTCGGACCCATCATAAGGGGTAGGGGTCACATATGTACGTGGCCTCACTTCTTGTGATGGGCCCCACCTACATGTGTGGGTGGGACCCATCACAAAGGGTGGGGGTCATATATGTACGTGGCCCCATCCCTTCTGATGAGCCTCACTCACTTATGTAGGCTTCACCTCTTGTGAGAGAGTTGTGTCCTATTCTGTATTTGGTTTCTGTGTTCTTAACATTATTGTTGGTATGGTTGTTTGTAATTGTAATTGGTATTTATTTTTTAGGATAAATTTCAAATACACTTTAACTTTTTGTGATTTTGAAAATTATATTTCACCCATTGAAAATTTTAATTTCACAACAAATGACTATTTTTAGTAATAAATCATTAAACCAATTAATAATTCAAGTAATTTTATTACTATATAGGGAGTAATTATAAATTTTATTTTTTGACAATAGGGTATTTGTAATTTTTTAAATCACATGAGGCAATCCATATTTTAAGCAAACTTTATAAGGTGTATTTGTAATTCATCGTTTTTCAAAATAATTGGGCCTAATCGAAGCCTAGTCAAAAAGCCTAATAATTGGTAAGCTTAGAGAAATTATTCCCGAATAGGCTAAGTGAATTCTATTGAACGGGTCCACAAGAAAGCCAACAGCAATGTTAGGAACAGTAATGTCAGAAAGCCCATAAATAAATACCAATTATAATTACAAACCATCACACCAACAGTAATGTTAGGAACATAGAAACCAAATACAAAATAGGACACAACTCTCTCATAAGGGGTGGGGCTCACATGTGTGGATAAGACCCTTTCACAAAGGGTTAGGACTCACATGTCTGGGTGCGGCCCATAACAAGGAATGGGGGCCACATATGTACGTGGCCCCACTCCTTGTGATGGGCCCCACCCACATGTGTGGGCGAGATCCTTTCACAAAGGGCTAGGACCCACATGTGTGGATAAGACCCATCACAAGGGGTGGGGCCATATATGTATGTGGCCCCAACCCTTGTGATGAGCCCCACCGCTTGTGAGAGGCTTGTGTCCTATTTTGTATTTGGTTTCTGTGTTTTTAACATTACTATTGGTGTGGTGGTTTGTAATTGTAATTCGTATTTATGTTTTAGGATAAATTTCAAATACACTTTAAGTTTTTGTGATTTTGAAAAGTACATTCCACCCATTGGAAATTTTAATTTCATAACAAATGACTATTTTTAGTAATAAATCATTAAACCAATTACTAATTCAAGTAATTTTATTACTATATAGGAGAGTAATTATAAATTTTATTTTTTGACAATAGGGTATTTGTAATTTTTTAAATTACATGAGGCAATCCGTATTTTAAGCAAACTTTAGTAGGTGTATTTGTAATTCATCGTATTTTAAATTAATTGGGCCCAATCAAAGCCCAATCAGAAAGTCCAATAATTGGTAAGCTTGGAGAAATTATTGCCGAATAGGCCAAGTGAAATCTGTTGAACGGGCCCACAAGAAAGCCAACAACAATGTTAGGAACAGTAATGTCAGAAAGTCCATAAATAAATACCAATTATAATTACAAACCATCACACTAATAATAATGTTAGGAACATAGAAACCAAATACAGAATGGGACACAACTCTCTCATAAGGGGTGGGGTTCACATGTGTGGGTGAGACCCTTTCACAAAGAGTTAGGATCCACATGTGTGAGTGAGACGCATCACAAGGGGTGGGGGCCGCATATGTATGTGGCCCCACTTCTTGTGATGGGCCCCACCCACATGTGTGGATGAGACTCTTTCACAAAAGGCTAGGACTCACATGTATGGGTGGGACCTATCACAAAGGGTGAGGACCATATATGTATATGGCTCCACCCTTTGTGATGAGCCCTACCCACATATGTGGGCCTCACCCCTTGTGGGAGGGTTATATCCTATTCGGTATTTGGTTTCTGTGTTCTTAACATTACTGTTGGTGTGGTGGTTTGTAATTGTAATTGGTATTTATTTTTTAGGATAAATTTCAAATACACTTTAACTTTTTGTGATTTTGAAAATTACATTCCATCCATTGAAAATTTTAATTTCATAACAAATTACTATTTTTAGTAATAAATCATTAAACCAATTAACATTTTTTAATGATATTATAAATATATTTCAATTAATAATTCAAGTAATTTTATTACTATATAGGAGAGTAATTATGAATTTTATTTTTTGACAATAGGGTATTTTTAATTTTTTAAATCACATGAGGCAATTCGTATTGTAAGCAAACTTTAGGAGGTGTATTTGTA